GAAAAACACACTTATGCACGAAACCATGAATTCAAAGAGAGTAGTAATTTTCAATCTATTCAAAGGCACCTGGAAATTTAGCCCAACAAATGTATTTCTGGAACAAAAATAAGGTAATGAAATTCAAATCAACGAGTAGTTGTATATTACTCCTTGCAATAAGTAAGTACTACATTTATTCCCTTTAGCAATTTCAGACGAAGTATTAGCAGAAAGTCTACAGAAGGAAATGGACTTCTTTTATTACTTCATGATTCCTCATCAGCTTTAAAACAGCCTTAAATTACGTTTCTGGAAAGCAGGAATGACTTGTGGTGTGGTTATAAGTATAGCAATAGCTAAAACACCTGGGAATAGGGATGATAATGAATGGGAATGAGTTGGTGGCCAAAAATCACTTGGCAAATAGTAATAAAAATGGTGTTACTGAAACCAAACACGGATAAATAGTAATGATTACACAATTTTCCTTTCGTAGATGTCAAGTTACTTCAAATGCCAACTGAACAAATGCTCAAGTTACCAAGTTAGTGCCCTAAACTTTTGTTGCAAACGGTTCTTTTACTAATATTTTCGTAAGAAATGCACAAGCGTTTGCGCTATTAAAACCAATCAGATATAGTTGTGAGAATGGTTTTTAAACTTCGCCTAAGTACAACAAGTTATGTGAAGCCAAACGAACTTGACGTTCTCTTTGTTCTGGATACTTTCAAAAGGTTAGTGATATTTACTGTCGTTTTTATATCTTCCGCGTTTCGGAAGATAACGCTTCTGAAACGGGTGATCAGAGATTAATCAATGCAGCTGTCACGTATCAAAGTTTGGCACTAGTTAACGTTTATTGGTTAGGTTTACAGTGTGGCTACTAAGCTAAGTGATGGGACACTGCAATCACTGTATATTAGTCTTACATTTTAGAAGTTAATCAGAAGTAAGCCTTTGACGCGGCTTTTATACTTAGTGGCATCTTTCGGTAAGACGTAGTTTCAGATATGATCAGAATGGTGTTCCTTTGGTAGTTCCGATCTATGTCTCTCAGTGTTGAAGTTAGAAACATCACCGTGTAGCTATTCGGACTATAACTGGCCGTCTGTGGGAGTCCACTATATAAACGCTTGTACCTCTGAAAACATTTTCAGAGTTACTTGTTTCATCTCGCAAACTTTCTAGTTATATTCCAAACGCTGGAGAATTCAAATTTGATTCATTACTATGACTGACAGCTTAGTCATATAAAACTCTTAATATTATCAAACGGATTGCTCTAGGTTAGTTTTTAGTGTTTACTTTGAAGTTTGATAAGTCGCATACCTACTACAAAGGATAGTGTGACTATATCTATCACATACGCAAATGATCAAGTGCATAATGAGATGTACATTCAAAGTATCTAGTAAAAGATACTTTGAAATTATTTAAATTTTATTCCAGATTAGCTATCATGTCATCTTGTGATCATTAGGATAAACGTAATCATGTCACTCAACATGGATTATCTTCTGCCAGAAGGATAAGCCTATCAAAGCCTAGACACATCAACTTTACATTATACGCCCCAAAATGATTAGTCAGATGGTGTGACGCTGAAGAAATCATTTGAACTAGTATGCTAAGGAAAAGTTTATGGATGCACAAGAGTTAATCAACACGTAAATGTAAACTGCTTCAGTTATACTTACTACAAATAAATAAAATCAAACATAGGCTGATTTTCAGACTGACTAAACAAAAGCTGAAGTCATGCTAAAGTGTTTGGATTCGATAACATTGGTTATTTAATGCCGAAGTAGTTGAAAATATAATGGTAACAAAACTCCGGAATGAATATCACTGAAATTTTAACAGATACCCTAAGATTACTTGGTACAATTTTATAATTCACTAGCAATTACTGTTTTTACAAACAACAAAAAGTTGAAAAACTATACCATCATAAATACCAACTCATAAGTAATTCAAGAAAAGCAAAGGGCTAACAGCGTTGAAAAAAGGGATACTTAGGTAAACTGTGTAATGATCTTGTTTCACAGAATATAAAAGACTTGAAATTACGTTAAGAATTAGCATATGACTTAATTAAAAGGTTGTTTTCTAAAGGAAGATGGATAGTCACACATTTTTAAAAAGGCATTAAAAGAAAAAGAAAACATTTCAGCTAAAAATGATATTCATACAAATATAAAATCTTGTTTCTTCAAACCAAGAGAAAATTACTGACAATTCTGAGAATGTTAAAGAAATAAACAAACACTAAATTACACGCTTCACTGAAATTTACGAAAAGTATCAAATTTCACTTCAAATCTCTTTTGTATTGCTTATCCAAATAACCTATCATTCACTATCCCTGATCATCTTTGATTTTATTCAGAAACAGAAAGACAAAATGACGCAAAACCTTTTGAAAATTGTACAAGACCAGATTTGCAGGCTTAATCATAATACTGAGAGGGATTATTAGCAGAAATGAATGGTTTCGATTGACAGCAGACATTTTGAAGACACAATTAGTAGACAAGCTCGCTATCTTGTATTATATCATACAAACAAGGTAAGAAAAGCAGAGTGATGAAACATAAAAAATATAAATTTGATGTGTTCTCACTTTTTTTAAATGATTTTCTCGTGTGAATGTTTTCAGAAGATTTTAAAAATTATGTGTTGAATCTACAAAGATGATACAATATCTAAAATTTGACGTCTGTAGATCAAAGGGATCAAAGAATTTATTCTTTTATCTGATGGTTCGTGGGAATTTGCTGATTTTACTTTTATTACGGACTACCGTAAACTAGAGAACCATTGAAAACCTTGAAGTAATGAAAATCTGTTCCATTTCACATTAAAAGGGGATAGCGGTCTAGTGCTCCTAGTTTTTTAGTGATTGTTAAGCTGATATCAATACGCTGTGGAAAATACTTTGAAACTTATGGCTTATTGGGTGGGGCAGTTTTTTAATAATGCTTTTACAGATACTTTTGAAAGTCGTATTATCGGTTCAGATTACTTATAACTAAGGCCTTCATAAACAGGCTACTGTGTAATATCTTATCAAATTTGCTTGCTGAACTGAAACGAAACTATAGAATGTAGGTAGAAACATTTTGATATCTCAATGTTCGACAAAACATTAAGAAGACAAAAATTGTCCGAACTGTGTTCTGTAATCTTTGAGATGTAAGATTCCCGTCGAAAATCATATGGATTTATAAGTAGTGACTACAGATAAAAGCACCAAATAACTAAGAGTTCCAGTAACTAATCAGACTTTATGTAAGAGTATCTCAGGGTCTTAGTCAGTGGGCTGACGTCATTGAACTAATGCGATGATGAAGACGGAAAACAGGTTTACAATGCGGAAGGTTTTTTCAAAATGTCCATAATCTCAAACTTCTGAAAAATGAAACAAAGTTGTTGCGCAACAAGCTACTAGGCACTGTGGGTCAGTATAGCCTCTTGTCTCTAATCTGCAGGCTTTTGATTACAGTTGTGTCGTGTTCGAAACTGTCTAACGCAGGAATGCTCTTTCTTGGACTCCTTAAGAGTAAATACATCACACACACTTCAGGAATGAAACAAACACTTGCAGTTTCGTATAAAAATATCAAAATAAGATTTTCAGAATAAGTCGCACTAATTAGCGAAATGCGAAACATTCAAATATAGTGGCTTAAATTTGTCTTAGTCCAACAAAGATACATTCACATTAAGGGAAATACGGCTAAACTGATTTATTTGATTTTCACAAAATTCATCGTCAGTCTGTAATTCGTCCTACCATTTTGGTCACTTTTATTTAGACAAAACAGGTTCATAACACATGCACTGTAATAGTCTCAATTTTCGCATAAGTTTGACGAAGTGGAATCTTTCTGGTTATGACAAGTGGATTTATTTAAAAAAAATACAAATACAGAATGTGTTATAATAGCATAGATTTTTTGTGATACCCATCGAAAAGTAGTCCTTTCAGTTCATATTCATCAATAATGAATCACAGCGTCAAAAGTATTGTATGTTTAACTGCATAGCCAATGTCGTTCTTAGAGAAAGTCGTATTACTTCTGCAACATATGGTGCCAAAGTTGACACCATCGGTCTTACGTTGTTCATGGTATAAATTCACTTTTAAGTTCAGTAAAGAAAAGGAAAGGTTTTCAAGAGCTAAGATTTAGGTGGTTCTTGCTTGTTTTTAGTCACAAAATAACTCTGAAAACATTAACAAGTCAGGCGATATTAAAGTTGAGACTTCTTAGAAAACATGAATCATGCTGGCCAGAACAGAAAAGTGGAAGAATGGAAAACTGCATAAAAAACGACCGTTAATAAGCCTAAGATGATCAAAGAGTACGATCAAATGATGGAAAAAACAAGATAAGCATTATTTTAACATTTACTTTTGGCAGTTTTAATACTAGTCTGCCAAACTACGGCTATCTCAGATGATGAAAACTATAGCAAATACGAGGTATGTTGCAGTGATTTTGCAACAAGAACTTCGTTCTACAGTTTGATACAATTTTACTTCAAATATTTAGCGACCTTATGCCTATAAGGCAGAAACCCCTTATACAATTACTTATTTTTTCTCATCACAATTGGAATCTGATCAAACTTGCCAGCCAAATACGTGATCCAGCAATGAGTATGTTTCCGAAATCTCTTGATAGCTTCAAATATTAATATACATATAACCAGACAAGATCGTCCAGAAACTTATCTATTTGATTAAAACCCATATAATTGTGAAAAAAGCACGGGATGCCACTCGACTACTTTTCAGAAAAATAATAATAGCTTTGTTCCAGACAATATGTTTCGTATGGTGTGGAATTCTCAGCAATTAATACCTTAGCAAAATCACTCTCAAAATAATCTTCTTAATAAAATTAGGCTACTTATCTGAAACTCAAAGGTCAATGCATCTTATTGAACGCTTAAAACACGCACTAAAACTTAATCCGAAGTAGATAATAAACTAACACACATCAAAGACTTACTGGATATTTCTTCATCAATCTTGGTAGCATTCATTGGAAGGAAATCTTGATAAAGAATTTGAATGAGTTGAGATGTATAAAAATTTGAAGTTACTGAGCAACCATATATTCCTGTCTGATGCTAGGTTTATCTACCAAAAACCATATAAATAAATTTTCAGGACTCAAGCACATGTTATTTTCTGAGTAACATTTTTTTCTGATTCATACTATTTCGATATTATAAGAATATACCAGTGTGCGTATAACATGAATAAAGTTATTCAGATTTGTTGTCTGACGATTCCGTCTTAAAACCGATGCAAACCCCATAATATTCGTAGGTAATTCACAGAAATCTCCAAGTTAGTTGTAAATTGCAAGAAATAAAATGCACATAACATGTAACTCATTTTGAGTAACGCGTATCCAAGTAAATACATTTCCCTAGGTAAAAAAACAAATCAAGGTCATGTAGGCATCACATTTCAGCGTCCAATATTAGTAGTATATTGGTAGAAAAGTGACAGTTTACGATAGTTCGGACCTGATTCTTGAGTCTTGGTTAGTCATGCTCTATTTGCTTTTATTGTTATGAGAGGAATATCTTCTGCTTTCATGCTTTTGCCTCCGGTGAAAATAATATTTTTTGTGGGTTGGTGATTTTGACTCTCAGATTGAGTTGGTTAGGGAGCTATGCATTTTTAGGGAGATCAGTGATGTTTCGTGACTACCCTCTGTATAGATCCTTGAATCAGAATCATAAGATAGCAGGTAGATTTGCATGAAACTTCCCTGGAAGGAAAAAGTAAATAGAATGGATGTAACTACTAGAGGAGAGTTAGAAGATAATCCAGGAATATGAAGACAAAGGGATGGTGGGCACCAGGTAACACGAGTTTAGTGGTAATCTAGTTGGGTTAGCAGTTTTCTAAGTGCTTAGCCGGTAAGCCATGCAGACTAATGTAATTTTCTAACCTTTTTAACCAGTTTTCTGAGGGGATGCTGACTACAACTGATGTTAAAGTATTCCATAAGCACATAATCTTGAGGAGATGGCTTTTGAAGTGAACGCAGTGCTGGCTCTCTCATGTGCCATTCTTATGGAGTTCCTTCAAAGTGACTATCATTCCACAGATGAAGTTAGTTTGTTCGTGCAACTTGCATGATGGGTGATCTTGTAGGCCATACGAAGGTTACCCTGCTTTCTGCACTATCCCGAGATGAGCAGTTCCGGATGGTTGTCTATCAGAGTACAATTTTCCCCTTGATCCAACAGAGGAGCTGATCAGAGATTCTTGTTTCTTCTGGGGAAGATTTGGAGTGCTACCGAACTGATGCGGCAGTGCTTTGCGTTGGAAAACCGTTAAAAACAGCTTAGGAGTCCGAGCACCGGGCTACTTACGCAGGAAGTATGAGGCGGCTTTCGTTTTGATACCCATTCTTTTGTTATTAGATCTACTGGTTTGGGCATCGGAGAAGTGATCACAAGATTGTCCTTGGGTTACCCTCGATGCCGAAAGTCTCCGCATCGTCTGTGATCCGTTTGCTTCACTACAAGGCTGTCTGCCTTATAGGCATGCTTTGAACAAGAAAGTAGGGGTTTTCCTATGCTCGTTGACGCGGTCATGTGAGATAGAATCGCTTGCAGTACGCTGGCAAATGGTTATTCTGGGCCAAGAAAATTAAGATGTGCTGGTCTCCTGCTATCCCAGCCGGAGGTCCGGTCGTCCAAGGCAGTCAGCAAGTCGATGGCACAAGAAAGATCACTCCAAAAGGCATCCCGAGTAGCGGGGATGGTGTTACGACTGTTGAGGACTTTCCGGATCTCCTTCACCGCCGGGCTTTCTAATACTTTGGACGGCGCCGGGAGTAAGGCATTTGGTCTGTAGCTGCTAATACGTTTTCTACATCCTCCCCCGACGAATGACTATTAGGTCGTGCACCTCTCCACTTTTGGGAACCTGTGTGACTCCAACAGCTACATGCAGAGGTTCTATGCTGGTTTCGTGAGAGTCACGGCACATTTCTACAGAACTACAGGTCTCAGGTTGTCGTGACCAGGACACTTGCCTGGATGAAGACTGAATAGTTTCCCCAACAATCTTTTCTGTGTGATGGGAATGTGGCGAAGGCATTCGTTACCCGTGCTTTTATCATGGTCGTATCGCACCGGTGTAGACCAGGCACCAGAGGTACTAAGCTGCTCTTCTAAGTATGGGCCCAGAAGCTCAGCTGTCTCTGAACTGGTTGGTACACCGCCACTGGGACCTTTAGCAAGATTAACTCCTCACCCTATCGACGTCCTTTTCGACATGAAGAGGTAGGTTTGACATCTAAATCTGTGGCAACACTTTTCTGTATTGCAGTAGCTGCGGATCTTTTCGCAGTTCAGGTCAATCTCTGGGTGGTGTGTTTCGGTTCAACCATGTTTGCCCTCTGGGCTTAAGTAGCTTCTCTGCGTGCGCTCCAGCCATGGTGTTCTCACTGACGGTCAACATGTTAACCCGCCACACTGGGACTCGTCATCCCGAGGGTTAATTCCTTCACCTATGTCCATTGTTCACCTGCTGAGAGAAAATTCTAGCATCCAGGCTATACTGCATTCATGAAGTTACCGCTCGCAGTCTCATGGTCATCGTCATTGTCGCAAGAGATCTCTGGTTAGATATATATGCCCAATGAGGAGATCGCCTTGCGTCAGAAATTGGCCTAGACGTGGTGCATTTCCGTCAGGACGTCAAAGTGGGACATAGCTCACCTTCCTTGAGGAACCAACCATCTTAATTGCACCCCGAAATTTCTGACTGAAGTATCTAGTGGCCTGCCCTTCCGTCTCGAAGAGGATGGAAAGAATGTTGAAGTCTCAAGCGATGAGTACAATGTCGCAATCTGCAAACAAGTGGTCACCAAGATTGCCTTAATGACCATTTCCATACGGTCACAAGTGCTGGCAGAGGACTTATATATGAGCATCAGTGGGTATTTGGCATACTGGAGAAGGAACTAGTACTGTAATGATTCCGGAATGCGGACGAAAGCCGTCTTTTCTTGCCTCTAGAGGGAAGCCTAAGTGATGAGCCACCTCACCCCTCACTCTGAGCCCCATGACCCTGGAGGAAAAGTCTATGCTATCAGGGGTATCAGGCAAGAGCCGGAATTCTGCCGTAGATCTGATATCAGTGTACAAAGGTTTGCTAAGCGCCCCCCATCGCTACTTCCCTACGAAGTCCTAAAACGTTGCGATGCATACAGGTTAAGATGTGCCAGACGGGAGGACGGGACTGGTTTCATATTTCGCTAGGGTACAGGATTGCCGGCACCCGAAGGAGTGGCACCACTTCTTGTCTTAGGGCTTCACTCTGGGTTTGGAGTATATACCAGATAAAGGGTGGTTACCGTCTTAGAGAAAACCATGAATTTCACTTAAATGTTTATAACTTCATCAAACGTTTGTACATAAGTATATAACAAGTGAATATCTGGTCCAAAATCCTCTAATATCTCTACTTCGCAGTGATGTTTTCGGCTTCGGACTAATTTTCATTACCGTCAGGCGCACCTTTATCTTTTTCCGCCTAAGCTTACCTCCAAATAGTTGGTTCTGCATACTTGTTGAGGTAAGTTTTGCAGTCAGTACAAAGAATTCACGCAGATGTATCGCAGTTGATCTACTCCTGCATATTTTTGTGCTCCTGCTTCGAATTTCGCCTGCTGCTCGATTTTGTTATTCACTTTTCAGGTTTGCGTAACCAGTCCTGCATTTAAATAGAATCCTGGATGTCGTATTTGTCAGTGGGGACCTTTCCATCAAAACCTTATGACGAACGCGCACCCATCAAGGTCATGACTGTGATGCGGCCCCAACTTCAAGGTTATTGGAAAATTCAAACAATAGCCGAATAATCCCTAAATTCGAACTGAGCCCGCTTCAACACACCTCTTATATGCCATAAACAACGGTATCTAATGTATAGCTTAACAAAGTACATAATAATCATTTCTCATCACCAAAACGATCAAACCTGTGAACTGGTTTGCATTCATGTAACCTTGGTTGTATGAAATATATGTATATATATAATTATTATTATTACTGTGCTCCGTGAACATGTACATCGAGAAGGAAAAACTAAGATGTAAGTGGGCATGAAGTAATTTATGGTACCCTTATGTCAGTGCGTGATAAAGTATGAACGGAAAAAGAAAAGTGGCTCAGACGCAGACGTGAAGATAGCTGCACCAAAATTATTTGCCTTTTTGGTTGTATTGTGTTCTCTGGGCTGAGTTGTTTGGTCGCGACTGAACAACAAGCATTCTCCACCATTTCAATTACTTGCCTTATCAATGATAAACTATGACGCCGCAGTAGTCAGTGAATTTTAACTGTAAGGTCATAGCAAGAAGTGGGAAGAAAGTTCAGAGACACGTGAAATGGTGACACAGTGGTGACAGAACGTGTTGGCCATCCCGTGGTAGTCAACTGCTATCAGTAACTCTGTTTTGAACGTCCTCAGGTTTATCTCAAGGAAGTTATCTTCTGTGACTTAGACATATGCAAAATACAAACACAGTATGCATCATTCTTGAGCCTATAGAACTAAAACGACTTACACGAACAGTGAAGAGTATCAGTTGCCATGTCTAGATGAGAATCTTAGAAATAGGGAAATACCAGATGCAATGAACACATTTCCGAAAAAGGAGAAAATTGATGCATGAAGGAGTGAGGTTGTTGTAGTCTTATTGTATAAAGTCAGAGAACTTGCCTGGAGAAGCGTTTTTTAAGAATGCCAGAACAAGCTGTTTTCAGCAGTACAATCGGGCATATTTTAACACCTGTCGTAGTCAGGTGAGTACGCTTGTAACCCGATAATGGCTACCCTACCAAGATATTGTACGCCATGCAGCGGAGTGGAAACTGCCAGCCTTCACTATCCCAAATAAACCCAGGTGGCATGCCATACCAAGTGTTTGAATTTCGTAATCTAAATGCAGTGGGATACTGGGATAACTTTTTTCAAGGTTTACAGCCCCACGCTGTCCTGGCTGGAGGCACGCTCTCATTTCTCTTTCCAGTTAAATGGATTATTTAAGTCAGCCTGAGATGCTGATAGACCAGTAGTTGCACCTTGCTGAAAGCTGCACACTATCTCAAGTTCTACTGCATACGGATATGGTTCTCCATCCCTGACCACCTTGCATATATCCTTATACACTTGAGAGAGAGAAGTGGGCTGACCACACATCCTTGTACAGCACCTCTTAATGATAAAAATTCATTCAGAATAATTGTAGCTGGTCAACAACCTGAAAAGCAATTGTTTAATTTAACAGTTCGGTAATCTCCATAGCGAAATGTTTCGAAACAGACGTGTAAGGGATTTACGACTCCAAATGGCCCAAGCTTCATGTGCAGTCCCTAGAAGACACTT